ACGTCGAACTCGTCTCGTACGAGCTCTTCGCAGGCGCCCAGCTCCTCGCAAACAGTTGCGCGTCGCAGCACGTCCAAAACGAGCAGCTTCCCAAACAAATGAAACTTCACAACCGCGCCTCGCCCGAGCAGTGCCCTGCAGCCACCGACGTTGAAAGTCTCCGCCACTTGCGCCTGAAATTAGAACTGGCCACGACAACCGGCCAGCTGGTCATTGAGCAGCTGGTTGTCTGCTTCGAACGCGCATCGCCGCCGCAGCCGCGCAAGCTAACTAGCGCTGCGGAGGAGCTTTGCGACCTGACTACCAGCGCCAGCGAGGAGTCGGTTCAGCAGCCTCGAGCGCCACAAGCGCGTCGCTCGAGAGCGTTCCAACCGCTGTTCGCGGGACTGAAGGCCGCCACCGGCCGTCCCGCTCCGCACGCAGTCGGCGCGGAACTGAGCGCGGTCAGCGCCGGGCGGGCGGCCGCGAGTTTCGCGGCTGCGCGCGCACCGAGCAGCGAGTCGCTTCACGGCGAGTCTGCCAGCTACTACTGGCTAATTGCGCTGAACGAAAAAGGGGTGTTTCTGCGCTTCAAGCCGCACAGCGCCGCCGAGAAGCTGTCCGGCACGACGGTGGCGTTGCCGGTGCCGACCGCAGCGCCCTTCGTGTCCGCAGACGTTTTCGAGGGAGAGCGTTGTTTACTGATTCGGCTCGGCAGCTGCGAAGCTGAGTACGTCTTGCGCTTCCGCTTTGGCGAGGCAGCGAGCAGCGGAAAAAAAGTTTCCGACTTACCGGCAGCCGAACTTGAGGAAACGCTGTGCGTTGGGCATCACGTCTGCATGCAACCGCTTTGCAGCACAGCTTGGGCCACGTGGGTGTTGTGCAGCCGCACGCGCAGCGGCACAGAGCTGCGCCGCGTGTCGGTGCACTTAGACACACCGGAGGTGGCGCAAGCGAAACGCGTGCTTCCGGACGCGCTGACCGGCTTGCTCTCCTGCGGTCCGTGCTACGAACGGCTGCTCGCTCTCTACTACGACGGTAATATAAAAAAATTAAAGTGCGTTCCAATTAGTTTCGCGAGAAGGTGAAGCTGCGCTGCGACACCACTCGTTCTTCTGGTCCTCTGCGCACGCTGCAGCTTTGTCGAGTGGCTCGAGGCGCCACCCGCTATGAATGAGTCGCGCAGGTCGAAGTGACCGCGACGGCATCCCGCCCAATGCGGCGCGACTGCCGCCGAACGCGCCTGCGCAGCCCGACGCTGCGCAGCAGTTCCTGCATGCGCAGCGCGCCTACTCGATTGCGCAGCCCGGCGAGCCGTCCGAGTTCCGCGGCCATCCCGAGCTCCTGCCGGACCACTTCGCGCGCCGGAACCCGCACCGCGCGCCGTTCGGCTCTGCGGCGGTGAACCCGAACTTCGGCGCGGAGCCGCGGCGCCTACCGCAGGGCCAGCCACCGGGCCAGCCACTGGGCCAGCCACTGGGCCAGCCACTGGGCCAGGCGCCCGCGCAAAGCCTGTACGCAGAAGCAGAGCGACGCGACGCGCGCGCGCCGACGCCGCAGTACACGCCAAACTTCGCTGGCGCGCCGGGTGTGCGCGCTGCGCCGTCCTATGCTGACGCAATGCAACATCCCGGGCGGCGCGTTGGCTCGCAAGACGCTGCGCAATTCGGCGGGCGCGCGGCGCATCCGGACGGCGGCGCCGGCAACTTGCGCGCAAACCGCGGCAGCTATCCGGTCGTGTTCCCCTACGCCGAGCCCGGCGCTTCCAACTTCGCGGCAGGCTACCCGGCGCCGCAGCCGCTCGAAGCGCCGCCCTACGGCGGCGAGCGCTTTCCGCTCGGCGCGCGGTTCTCGAACAACGTCGCGCAGCCGCCGCCGCCGGGCTACGGCAGATTCGCTGCGCACGCCGAGCACCGGCCTGCGCCGTACTCGCTGCAGCCGCGGCCCAACGCCGCGCACGGCGGCGCGCCTGTACTGATGCACGGCGCGCAGCGCGCGTTGGACGCTTCCGGCGTCGCGCCACAGGCGATGGCGATCGGCGCGAACCGCGGCGCCAACTACGCGCCGCTGCACGGCGCGCCGTATTTCCAGCACCCGCACGTCGCTGGCGCGCCGCATCCAGACGCGATGTACTCGTACCACCCGGGCGGCATGCCCCCTCGCGCGCTGGCGCCCGGCGTTCTGCCGCCGCTGGAGCACAAGAGCTTCATTTCGCAGCCCCACTACGCGCCGGCAGCGCGCGGCGCGCCGCACGCTGCAGGCCCGCCCGCGTTCCAGCTGAGCGGCGCAGCGCCCGCGCACGCCGCGCTAAGCCAGTACGGCGGGCTGCAGTTCGGCGGCCGCTTGCCGGTGGGCATGCGCTGCGGGCCGCGCGCGCCGCAGATGTCGAAGATGCTGCCGGTGCCGCAGCTTCCCGCGAACTTCATTCAGCCGCTGAGCAGAGGCTTCTGCGTGCTGCTGACCGAGAAGCCGAACAAGCGGCGGGGCGAGAAACTTGGCGCCGCGGCGGAGAGCGCCAGCAGCAAGCTGAGCAAAGAATCGTTTTCGGTGCTGCAGTTCTCGAAGCCGCTCGGCGCTCTGAGCGCACTGTCCGCGTACGACCACGAGAGCGGTCTGATCACATGCGCGAGCCACAACGCCAACACCATCTTCAGCGACATCAACTGGGTGCACAGCCGGATCCACGTCGGCGGCTCTCCGGAGAACTTGAGCAGCGAGCAAGTCGCGAACTACTCGGCGATCCTCTCGAGTGTGCCGCCGAACTGCCGCTTGCAGCTGCACGAGCTGCATGCCGCGCTGAGGCACTTCTTTCCGCACTGGAGCATCGTCTCCGAGCTGCTGGTGAGTCACACGCTCGTGTTCCGCCGCGCGGAGCGCATCAACGCGGCGAACTTGAAGGCGGCGCCGTTCCGGCTGCCGAACGAGCTGGTGCTGCAGCTCAAGCTCGGCGAGCGCGCGGTGTACGACATCGACATGCGCGAGGCGACAGAGGACAACATGTTTGCGGCGCAGCTGCACCAGAAGGCGCTGCCGCTGGACACGCCGCTGGCGCGGCTGAAGCAGCTCGCCTCGCAGCTCGAGTTTTACGGCCGGTTCGCGACCTACGTGGTCACGCCGGAGTGCGTGTTGGTGCAAACGCCGGGCGATGAGGACGAGTTGTGCTCTGCGTTCGCGTTCATCATGCCGCTGCTCAGCGCGTTCGTCGCGTCCTCCAAATGACGCCCGCGCGCCCGTTGGCGGATGTTTCGTTTTATCCGTTTTTATTTTAGAGATTCAATGCGAGACTTTCCCATCGGCAAGCTTGAGAAAGGCGTGTACCTGCCGATAAGCGTCGCGACGTCGCCAAACGCGTACTGCCTGCCGGGCTTCTACGCGCCCTTCGTCGAGAAAGTCTACGTGCCGAACGGGCTGCTGCGCGAGCGCGTGCGCAAGCTCGCGAAGGACATCTTCGAGCACTACGCCGCGCTCGAGGGCGAGCTCGTGCTTGTGTCCGCGCTGAACGGCGCCGCGGTCTTTTTCAGCGACCTCGCGCACTGTTTGCAAGAGTTCTCGATGATCGCTCCTGCACTGCCGCGACCCGCGCTGCGCATCGAGTTCCTGCGCTGCAGCTCCTACGCAGGCACCGCACAGACCGAGTCGTGCAAGATCACGTGCGACTTCACGAAGCTCGAGGAGAGCTGCCGCGGGCGCCACGTGCTCGTCGTCGAGGACTTGATCGACACCGGCACCACGCTGCGCAACGTCTGCCGCTACCTTGAGAAGTACGGCGCGCTGAGCCTGCGCGTGGTCTGCGCGATCTCGAAGCGCACGAAGCACTGGAACGGCTTCGAGCCGGACTGGGTCGGCTTCGACGTCGACGATTTCTTCGTCATCGGTTACGGCATGGACATCGACGAGTACTGCCGCGACCTGCCGCACGTGTGCATTCCGAACCGCGCCGCGATCGCGCGCTTCACGCAAGCGCGCGCGCCGGCCAGCCTGGAGTAGCTACAAAAAGTAGTCGGGCAGCGAGCTGCCGAGCGTGTTGCCACGTTCGCTCGGCGGCGCCGCCTCGAAGTTCTTGAATTCGCACGTGCCCGCTTCGTCTATCTCTAAAATGCTCGCGCTGTTTCCGCAGCGGTAGCAGTAGTTCGGCGCGCTCCAGATCGTAACCAGTTTTTTGTTGAACCACCACTTGTACCCGTCCATCACCAGTTGGTGCGCGCGCACGATGAACTCGATGTTGTTCGCGTAGCAGAACTGGTCCACCGGACCCTGGCCGAACACGAAGCCCGCGCCGCGCGGACTCGCCGCCCAAAACTCGATGTTGTCCGGGTCGCTCCAGAGGATGTCGCAAATGATGCCTTCGTGTGGGATCTCCTGCTTGCGGTCCAGCGCCTGCAGCGCGTCGATGCTTTGCAGGCTCGGGCTGAGCCCGCCGTGCACGCAGAAGTACTTGCCGTCGACCACGCAGGCGAGCGCCAAGTAGTCGAAGATCTCCGTGCACATGCGCCACACGGACGCGTTCCCGTACTTGCGCAAGCACTCGTCGTAGAAGCCGTACACCTGCGTGATCTGCCGACTTTCGTGGTTGCCGCGCAGCAGCGTCACGCGGTCGCGGTAGCGCACCTTGTACGCCAGCAGCAGCAGAAAGGTTTCGACGCTGTAGAAGCCGCGGTCCACGAAGTCGCCGAGGAACAGATACTTCGTCTCGGGCACGAAACCGCCGACGTGGAACAACTCAAGCAAGTCGTAGAACTGTCCGTGGATGTCTCCGCAAATCGTGATCGGCGTGCTCAGATGGATCACGTTCGGCTCGTTCGCCAAAATCTCTTCCGCCTTGACGCACAAAAAGCGCACGTCTTCCTCCGGAACCAGCTCGAAGCGCTGCGTGTTCGCGGCGCGCACTTACCGACAGGCTTTCGATGATCTGATCAACCTTGTCGCTCATGGAACCGCAGCTAGGCCGGCAACATCATTTGCCGCGTACGCAAAAATAAATACGATATTTAGTGTCACGCCGCAATTGCCGGCGCCGCGCCACACCCTGCGGCCGACGCGCGCCCGCACGCGGCGCCCGGCGCGCCGCCGAGCGCGTGCCGCTGCTCCGCGGTTTCCGCGACGCAGTCTGGAAAAAACGAGCGGCCAGCGACGCTCGGCTCCGCGTCCGTTTGCGAGAAGCTGCCGGTCCGCGTGCTGTCGTTGCTGCAGCTGTGCAAAAACTCGAACGGCGGCGCAGCTTCTGGTGCATGCGGCAGCTCCTCGCGCGAGCCGCGCCGCGCCGGCTCTGGCGGGTACGCGTGCGCGCTGCGCTCCAGCTTGATTTGAAAAAGCCGTTCCACGTCGGTCGCCGCCGGCAAGTCGAAGTCCGCCAGCAGCGACTGCGCGAGGTTCAGCGTCGCGAAGCTCGCGCGCTGCGCCTCGTCGCGTCGGGCGCGCGCCAGCAGCCGCAGCGACGGCGCGTGGATCTTGCACAGCGCCTCAAGCGGCAGCGCCTCGCGCTGGTACTTCAAAATCTTCTGCTTGAGCTTGTAGGACTGCAGCAGAAACTGCAACTTGTCCAGGCAGTTCTGTGCGCGCTCGCTTTCCGAGCCGTAAAACGCGTGTTCCGCGCCGGCGAGCGCCGCCGCCGGCTGCTGCAGCTCGCGCCGCACCTGCGCCAAGTAGCGCTCGCGCGTGACGAAGCCCTCGAACGTTCCTGCGTGCGCGCCGCCGCCACTTACCCGTGTTCCAGTTCCAGCTCTGATTCGCCTCCAGTTGAACCTCCGCATCTCCTTTCTTGATTAAGATGTCAATCGGCGTAGGCATGCCTCGGCCCAAATGCTATAAAACACACTGCAGAGTGCGACGCCACATCAAAATGTTTTGCTAATTGCGCCGCCTTTTGCGACCGCATTTATTTAATGTCGGCTCATTTGTGAGCCACCGTTACATTTCGCCAGACGATCTCGCTCGTGCCATGCGTTCGCCGCGCGAGAAGCCGGGCGCGCGCGCGCCGCTCGGCGCGCGCCTCGCACTGGGCTGCAGCGCGCTCTGCGCGCTCTGCGTTCGCTGTTTCTCCGTCGCGCTGAACGGGCTCGTAGTTGACCAGCACGACCCGCACTTCAACCTGCGCGTCGCGGAGCGGCTCCCCCCCCTGCTGCCGCAGGCGCGGGGCCCCCCCCGCCCCCCCCCCCCCCCCCCCCGCCCCCCCCCCCCCCCCCCCCCCCCCCCCCCCCGCCCCCCGCGCGCCCCCCCCCCC